CCTTTGTAGGCCACTAACAAACTTCCATACATATTAACATAATACCCAAAATATCCCTTTATACGATTGTGCTAGCAACCAAAAGGATAAATCAAAGTAGAATGTAATATATACAAAGTTACCATTGTGCCTCAAGTCTTAGGATTAGTCATGTACTATTGTAACATGAAAATACTTATTCGACAAGACAAATCTTTCATTAAGTATTTTCATACGGTCATGTTCAGTGTACTTGTTCTCTAACAAGCACCCACATATATGTATTTGCGTCGCACGCTAATGTTGATGGAATGCAACATTCTTGTCCAACAAGCATACATACTATGTGCAAGTCTTTTATGGATTATTCGATATCCCATTTCTAAACATCCTTCGACTTGGAACTTTATTTAAAATCACAGCTTTCAAGGTATGTTCCATGATCACCATCTCTATGCGCAACCATACCTTATAACCATAAGTGATTTAGGGATTTTATCTTAAGTGTGATTATAGGATAAAAACTTACTCTTAAGATAAAGTAATGCCTTATTTACAATATAATTCCAATAGATAGTATTTACAAGTAGAATACGTCCAATCCAATTGGAACGCCGGGTATCCTACTCTAACACTTAGTATATTAAATGCTTATATTTTTATACAGTTTGATGAGACAGTTTTCAAGTTCAGCATTACCATTTCATTTTCAAAAGTACAGGTGGGAGCCCAGACTGGGTATTACATTGAGTATAATTTCTGATATCATGTCCGAGGTATGCATATTTATTGAGGTTATCCACATAGGGTGGCCCCGAGTTGCCATGAGTTTTCCCCCTATGTTCTCGTGGTGACCCGTAGTTGCCTTAATATTCCACTAGAGTGTGCACATGGTTACTGGCCGAGTTTTTTAGATTGCCGGGAGATTGAGATACAGTTTCAGTTTATATATACTGACGATCATGATATTGTTATTATTATGGTTGTTTACTTTAGTATGAGTTTCTGCGGAGCATTTTGCACTTTCGTGCTCACGCCCCACTTATATGTTTTTTTTTTTTTTTCAGATGTTCGGGTCAGGCCGCAGGCGTGAGATGAGTAGCAGTGGTGGTGGTCGTGGATTCGGCTTATCTTGTCATTTTTTTTTACTTTGTATATACACAAGTTGTATATATTTTTGCCACGCTTTATATTTCCGCTGATGTTATTTTCAGTGTCAAACTTGCATGTCAGTTTTCATATTTTATCGAATCTGGAGACAGGTCCGGTTGAGTTACATGCTAGTTTAATTAGATTATATATATCTGTTTTCTTTTTCTCTAAACCAGTATTTAGACCAAGTTAAAAGGAAACAGATTTTTAGATTATATAAGTTAAGTAACATCCCTAGTTAAGTTAAATGATTTCGAAAAATTTATATGTATTTTCGAAATAAAGTTGCAAAAAATTTTACTCTGATACTAGTAAGTTAGTGGGGTGTTACAGTGACGGCTAGAGGCATTGAGGTAGATCTCGGTAAGATAGAAGTTGTGAGCAAGTGGGAGACTCCAAAGAATGCGAGTGACATACGTAGTTTTCTGGGGTTAACAGGATACTATCGCCGTTTTATTGAAGGCTTCTCAAAGATGGCCGAACCCCTAACCAATCTGACAAAGAAGGCAGCGAAGTTTGTATGAAGCCCATAGTGCGAGGCTAGTTTCCAAGAGTTGAAGAGAAGACTTACTAACGCACCCGTATTATCCATTCCCGACCAGAGTTTGGAGTTCACGATCTATAGTGACGCTTCGAAGATTGGTTTAGGTTGTATGCTGATGCAGCAAGGGAAAGTAGTGGCATATGCGTCGAGGAAGCTGAAAACTCACAAGCAAAATTACCCCACTCATGATCTAGAGTTGGCCGCGGTGGTCCACGCCTTGAATATTTGGTGGCACTACCTCTACAGAGAAAAGTGCAATATTTTCACTGACCACAAGAGCTTGAAGTATATTTTCACTGAGAAAGAGATGAACATGCGGCAGAGGAGATGGTTGGAGTTGGTAAAGGACTACGACTGCAAGATTAGCTACCATCCCGGGAAGGCTAATGTTGTCACCGACGCCCTTAGTTGGAGGAGTCATGGCCAGTTTTCTTGCCTATTCAAAAGGTAGGAAGTATTAGTACAGGAGTTCGAGCGGCTACAACTAGGGGCAGTGAAGTCGACTTCGACAGCCAGTGGTGTTTTGGAGCCTTGGTTGTGGGAACGATTCTTTGGGAGAGGATAGTCACTGAGCAACCAAATGATTGATTCTTATGCCGAATGAAGGAGTTGATGGAGGCCGACAAAGTTGGAGGATTCACAGTCACGTCCCATGGGGTATTGGTCTTCGAGGGTAGACTATGTGTTCCGAAGGTGTAGAAATAGCAACATGACATCCTTCTTGAGGCACACAGTGCACCATATACCGTCCATCTTGGTAGCACGAAGATGTACCAGGACCTGAAGAAGACGTTTTGGTGGCGAGTGATGAAGAGGCAAGTAGCGAGATTCGTGAATTCATGTCTAGTGTGTCAGCAAGTGAAGGCTGAACACTAGAAACCGAGAGGGTTGTTGAAGCCACTTGAGATTTCCATATGGAAATATGAGTGCCTCACCATGGACTTCGTGGTGGGATTTTCGTGATCTACAGTCGAACACGACTCTATTTTGGTGATTTTGGATCAACTTACGAAGTCTGCCCACTTTTTGCCCGTAAGGACAACTATGAAGGCTAGTGATTATGTCGAGTTGTTCACCGATGAGATTGTTTGAATTTACAGGGTGCCCGTGAAGATTGTATCCGATCAAGAACCAAAGTTCACGAGACATTTCTAGAAGAGTTTGCACCGAGCCTTGGGGGAGGTTAGAGTTTAGTACAACCTTTCATCCTGAGACAGATGGCCAGTCGGAGTGGACGATCCAGTATTTGGAGGATCTTGTGAGGGCTGTGGTCTTGGACCAGAGCCTAACATGGGAGAGTTCTTTGTCGTTGGTCGAGCTGGCGTACAATAATAGTTATCACGCCTCGATCAAGATGGCACCGTTCGAGGCCTTGTATAGACGGAAGGTTTGGACTCTCTTGTATTGAGATGAGGTCGGAGAGAGAAAGATTATGTGTCCAGAGTTCATTCATAGGACTTCCGAATAAGTTGATGAGATCCAGAAGAGAATCAAAGCTGCCCAAGAGAGGCAGAAGGTCTATACCGACAGGAAGAGGCAGGAGCATGAGTATGCAGTTGGCGTTCATGTCTTTCTGAAGGTCTTGCCCATGAATGGTGTGATTTGCTTCGAAAAGATGGGGAAGCTTCGGTCTCGCTATATCGAGCCCTTTTAGATCTTCGCCCGAGTCGGGGACTTGGCCTATCGGCTAGCTTTCCCACCAGACTTGTCGGGAGTGCACGATGTGTCTCAATGTTATGTAAGTATGTGCATGACCCCAACCAAGTGGTTGTAACGCCCCATTTTATTTTCCCGAAAATCAGAATAAATTTTTCAAACTTATTTCAAAAACATTATTTGAGGCGCTACTCATTTTCAAAACAATAACCAATACTAAATACATCCTCAATACTCAACAATAAACAATACTCATAATCCATATTAATATCCCAATAATGCCAATCCAATAATAATCCTAGGGAAAATAATCCCTATCAATCATTCAATAATCTAGTACTAGTGAAAAACAATAATCAATAATGCAATAACATTATATTCAAATTCAGTTTTTAAGGCGGAAGCATTTAATCAAATTTAAAGACCACAACTCGCGTCCCTTCCGACGTGCCCACTTAACTAACCTGCATCCATGAAGAGCAGGTGGGGATGAGCACAATAGGAAAATCGAGGTGCTCCCCGCTATGCAATAATTAATATCAATAATCAATAACAATAAAGGTATGGTCGCAACATGTATATGAATCAATAATTGTCCCATCTCCTACCAATAATCAATAATGAACTCATGTGCACACCTATAGCAATAGACTACTACCGAGCTATATACCGAACGCCTTCCTCGAAGGCCTTACAACTGGCTAGCAGGAGAAATAATCCACCCCGAATGCCAAAACTCACACCTTGACCTTACATACGAGGATCACCAGCCAAGGCTCAGGCCCTGACTGCCAACAATAATAAAGAAGACTACCCGAAGGTATGTTCTATAGCTATGGGGATAACCGTTCGATGGCCGGTATAGCTCACATCGAAGGCTACATGGTTCATATACATACTTTGATCATACCACAACAATAACAATTAATTAAGGCCTAGCATTTAACAAATAAAACCCACCTGAAAATTGCAGTAGAAAATCACACACAAAGCTGGTACGTAGGTTGAGGCTCGACTCCTCAAACACCTACATTTAAGCGAGATAATTTATCAATAAACTATCTCACTATTCGAATTTATCATAAAACCCATACTTAATAAAAATTAAGACATAAGGGTTTTAATCGGATTTTTCGTGAAATTGGAACTCTCTCATTTTTGCAAAATAGGACTAAGAACTAAATTAGAATCTCAAGACTAAGAATAAATTTTCCAATATGTTTCTCATTTGTAAAAAGAAAAAATATACTTGAAATCGGTACGAAAAACGGCCTCGGAACACAAAAATGCCATTATAAAAAAATTGTCGCGAATTTGGGCCTGGATCACGCGGAATTGGGCCGAAACATGGCGTGGCCTAAGGCAGGAACACTGCTGGCCATGCGGGCTTAATCTCGGGACGCGTGCGGGCTTGCGGGCAAAAATCGGGCCTTATGGCCCACGCTGGAGTTGGCTTTTTAAAAAAAAACAGGGCTACATTACGCAAGGGTTGGGGATAGAACACGCCACCTCATACACGGAAAAGTGAACAGCAACCACTGCACCACAACACCTAGTCGGAACTCAAACTGAAAACATAGACAATTGAAATTTAACGAAAAACCTGCTTTTTGACAGAAACAAAAATCGAACAGAAGCAGTAGACTTCGAAAACATATTAAATTTCTGGGCAACCGAAATCGAGGAAAAATCCAAACTTACGAGAATAACAGTTTTCAGAGTTCCAAAATTTCTTAAAAACGGGTTTATAAGGATCGAAAATGGAAAACAGCATAACCGGCTCCAACTGAACAAATATATACAAACGACGACTCGGACATAAAATCGATACTCCGAATTCAACCAAATTACTCACAGCAACAACGAGACTCAATTAATACGATAAACGAGAGTTCTAAATCACACGATAGTCAATAAGAATTCCAACACAACGGCTAACACAAATAAAAGATAATCCGACTAATCAACGGAACGATAAACGAACACAAATTAATTTAACGAATAACCACGAGCATGGGTATAACGAGAAGATTCGAAATAATTTACCCATCTTCGGGAATTTCGGAAAGACGGTCCACGAACGGACCTTGAAAACTCGAACGGTAACCTTGACGGACGGAATTGCGTGACAAGAGGGGCTCACCGAATCACTGTTCACGTCGGGGACCGCACGCCGGTGAGGAACTGAAACGCCAAGTTCATTGGTGGCAGAGGGCTGGTCGCGCGGTAATGATGGCGATGACGATGATGGTGGTGACAGGAACTCGGTGCTGCAGATGAGTGACGATAGTGGAATAATTATTATGGTGGCAGGAACAAAAAGAGCGAGAGAAAGAGCTGTGAAGCTTTCTGAAACTTTCTCAAGTGTAGGTGAAGATGATGGTGGTTTATAGAGGAGAGAAATATATATTAACGTTTCAACTGATTTATGGCCATGATTAAAAGATTAATCCTCATAATTAAAAAATTAATAAGGATTAATATCTCTAATTAATTTGTGTTGGAACCCATGAGGATCTCGATATGCACAAATCACAGACAAACATTCAACATAAACCTATGCGCAGCGGATCTAAAGGTTTGATGAAAAAAACTTACGGCTTAAAATTTATGTAGATCTGGCTGGCCCGGACAGATGAGCGCAAATCAAATCTTCTCGGAATCGAACAAACTTGACCAATCCAGAAAGCTGACGTCACGACGAAGTCAACGGCGTTGACCGATCGGAATTTGGGGTTCTGACGCGCTCTCACGCGCGATCACAAGCTCCAGCAGCAGCGAACTTCCGGCGGCGATCTAGACGGCGATCTCTTCGTCTCGTCATCCTGGTCGTCGTGGTATGGTCACTTGCTGG